TAATCAAATCTAACCAAATTTACTGTAAAGAAAGGAGAAAGATAAAGTCTGACAAAAGACTGGATATTTTTCTAAAGGAAAAAAAAAGAAAAAAGAAAACATGATTTAATAACTTTTGTGTATTAGATGCATATCCTATGTTTGTTAAGGTCAAACAGATCTTTTAAATCAAGAGTGTTATATAAAGAGTTTGGTAGTCTGGTGTAAATGGTTACCATAATCTAAAAAAATAAGTTTAAGCGTCCATCATTTTATTATTTGCCTCTTTCTTCTATCTTCTTGATTTTGAAATTTATAAAAAAAAATTGTTAAAAATAAAAAAAATACTAAAAAGAAAATTTTTAAGAAATTAAATTGAGAAAAAAATACCGTTAAAGAGCATAAAGAAGCTACGTTATGAAACGATAAATAAAGTTCTGATACCACCAAGTAAGATAAAATATTACATTTATTTTCTAATACTTATACTTAATGGTATCAGAGTTCTTATACCACCTATTGAAATTAAATGTTACTTACCAATATTGCCTTTATAATACCAAAAGAATATGCATATATTGCATCCATCTCTGCATAACAGTTCGTAAAGAAAAAGAACAAGAAGCCTGACGACTTTGAACTTTACCTGTTAATGCAATTAAATCAATGAAGAATCATAAGGAATTAGTAAACTTAAAAAAATTATAAATTTATAATAATTAAAATATTACTATTTTTGTATTTTATAGTCAATAATAAAAGAAAAATTATTTAAGAAGCTGATACATAAAAAACTAAAATCTAATTCAAACTTATTTGTAGCAGCTGTGGATAAAAGTGAAAAGCTAAGGCAAACGGAGGATCCAATCTAACCAAATCTATTTTGAAGGAAAGTAAAAGATAAAATTTGTCAGAAGATGCAAAATAAAATTATAGAGCACGACTAATTACTTTTAAAAAAGGTATAAAAAATTAGTGTTCTCTGTACATTTAGACAGCAAGAATCATGTTTTATATGAGGTTATAATCTTGTTTTCACTGCAATAAAAGTAAAGAAGAGATGAGAAGTCAGAAAAATATTGTCTTAGATTTTTTTCTAGTTGTAAAAGTATTATTTCAGCTATCAATTTAAAACATTTAAACATAATCAAGTGTAGTATTGCATCACTAATATTTTAAACATTTTTTTAACATTTCATCAAGCTTACATAGTTCTTATCATTGTGAATATACATTTTGCAGTTCCTACCAAGGTTGTTGCGAGTTTAAACAAATTCATGATAATGATATAAACTCGGATTGTAAATTCAAATCGTAAACTCGTAAGAGTTTACTTTTATTAATAAACTGATATTAAAAATATATAATCAAATAATTAATATAGAAAAAATGAGAACAATTTTATTTAAATATATTTTAAATTTAAATAATTGAAATTATATCTATCAATGTTCATAATTTATCATATTCAACAAAAAAATTTCTATAAAGATCATATATAAAGTCACTAAACATAACCAAATTTAAAAATTTAGCATGAATTTAAGAGTGAATTGACATGATTTTGTAACCTAAAAACGTAAAAATAGTAAACTTAGTAAATAAACTCGTAAGTTTAACTTAGTTTACAGTTATCACGAGTTTAAAAACAAGTCGACATGACTTTGTTAGTTGAAAACGTAAAAACATTAAACTCGGAGAGTCAACTCACAAGTTTGATAACAATGGTTCTTACATAGTATTATTCTTAAATTTTAAAATTTTTTCAGATTTAGAATATATCTAAAAAAACATAAAGAAGCTACGTTATGAAACGATAAACAAAGTTTTGATACCACCAAGTGAGATGAAATATTACTTTTATCTTCTAACACTTGTATTTAATGGTATTACCACCTATTAAGACTAAATGTTACTTACCAATATTGTGTTTGTAATACCAAAAGAGTATATAAATGTTGCTTCTATCTCTACATCACAGCTCGCAAAAGAAAAAATAAGAAGCCTGATAACTTTGAACTCTTTTTTTTAACCTATTATTGCAATTAAATCAATGATAAACTATAAAGAATTAGTAAACTTAGAAATTATAAATTTATAATAATTAAAATATTATTATTTTTCATTTTATAGTTGATAATAGAAGAAAAATTATTTAACAGGCTAATACATAAAAAATTGAAAGTTGATTCAAACTTGTTTGTAGAAGCTATGAATAAAAATGAAAAGTTAAGACAAATGAAGGATTTAATCTAACCAAATCTATTTTAAAGAAAAAAAAGATAAAATCTGTTAAAAAATACGATATTTTTATGAAGCAAAATAAAATTAAGGAGCATGACATAATAACTTTTAAAAAAGGTACAAGACAAAAATAATGTTTTCTATACATTTAGATCATAAGAATCATATTTTATATAAGGTTATAATCTTACATTCACTAGAATGAAAGTAATAAAGAGATGAGAAGTTAAAAAAAAATATTGTTCTAGACTTTTTTTAGTTTCAAAAGTAGCACTGAAGAGCATAAAGAAGTCAGGTTAGAGAATGATAAACAAAACTCGGATACCATTTGATGAAGCTAAATGTTTTTTACCCTCTATCACTTACAATTAATAGTATTAAAGTTCTGATACCACATACTGAAATTGAATATTACTTAACAAACTTTTTATTAGTTTTTACAATATGATTTATATATTTTTTAAAAATTCAAGAAGTTAATGCATATCTATTTTATTTTCATGGCTCTTATTAATTGTACTGATATTTTAATACTTTGATTTTGTTTTTACCTTTGAAGTACTGGAAGATTATATAAATGTTGTCTCTACCTCTATACCACAGCTCATAAAGAGAAAGAGGGAGAAACCTAATGACTATAGGTTCTTTTTCCCTGTTATTTCAACAAAATCAATGATAAAATATAAAAACTTAGTAAATTTAGAAATTATAATTTTTTAGTTACATTAAAAATTATACTTTTGTAATAATTAAAGTATTACTAATTTTTTTTATAAGTAATAAGAAAAAATTGTCCAAGAGGCTAATATGTAGAAAAATAACAAATTAATCCAAAATTGATGGTGCATGTTTTTTACAGGATGATGATTTTAAATAATGGAGGATTAGATCAATTCAAAATAATTTTGAAGGCAACAAAAATATAAGGTTTATTGAAGGATGAGATATTTTCATGCAAGAACACGGGATAAAAAAGCATGACTTGCTCATGTTGAAAAAAATACAAAAACAAAACAATCTTTTCTACTCATTTGTAAAATAATGTTACAGAGAAGTATGGAAGGTTAAAATTTGTTTTCAATACAATAAAGATGAGAAAGAGATAAAATAAGGTTAGAAAAATCAAATCTCTTATTTATGATAAAAAAGGTACAAACAAAGAAAAAAATATGAAAATGATAGAACTTGAAATCCAACAAGCATTAGCTCTGATACCACTTGACATGGAAGACAATACGAATTGACTAGGAAACAACTATAACAATCAAATTGAGACTCCAACGAGTGCATGTTTCGTTGATGTTGTGTAATTCTTCTAGATCGTTGAGCTATTTTAAATAGGTTAATTATGCGTTTCATTACTAAAATGTGTTTCTTGTACAGTTTTAATTTAAAGTCTTCAGAAATATCAAAGATTAAAAAGTATTGTGCTTTTTTTTATTTTTGAATAGAGGCAAATGGGTGAATCTAGTTTTAATGCTCACATCAATAGGATAGAGTTGCCTATGATTATGGGAAAGTAATCTTATGTTTTTAGTGCAAGCTAAATGAAGTAAAGGACAATGCATATATAGAAAAAACAGAAAATTAGTTCTTTGAATTTTTATTTTATACTATAAGATTAGCTAAAAATTATTACATTTAGCTTTTAAACCTACTTCCTTCTAGTCACTGAATTTGACATATTAAATCTGTGTGTTATTGAGTAAGTGCGTGTTACATTTGATGTCACATGAATAAAATATGATCTATAAAGAATTAAAAAAATTTCAAGTAATTACTATTTAAATAAGAGATAGATAAAAATAATCACCAAAATGAATAAAATATAAATTAAATTGAAAAAATATATATGTAAATAAGCCCACCTTTAATAGGTTTGTACCTAAAAGCATGGTTAACATTTTTTTTTTCAAAACCCCCGGCCTTGAATCTGATCAAGTCAGTCTAACGTACTTAATTTTATTTCGTCGATTCTATCTTGAAAGATAATGAGTAGGACATTTGAATAGGAGTAAAGTTAAAAAAGTTTTTGACAAATTTAATGACTTTGCTCTTTTTCTAAATTCAATCATGTCATTCAACATTACTTATATTCTGAATAAATGGGGCTAAGTTGAACTAAATTGAGAAAGACACTGGTGGGAATATGTTTCTCCCTCCGTTTCTTATTATAAGAGACATTTGATGCTTATAGCATGTTCCAATATATAAGAGACACTTAAAAGTTGTCTCTAGTTTTTTGTATTGATTTTCTATTTTACCCCTATTTATTTTGTCTCCAACTCATATTCTTTCTCCCTCTCACTTCTCTTTCTTTTAATAATTTAATTGTTCTCTCTCATACTCTCTCTCCTTATTAATAGGAGTATTGTTGGAAAAAACATTATACTTTTTACACATTAATTGTCCTCAACTAATTTTAACTGTTTTTTTAATCAACGTAATTTAATTATTTGTCTCTTATAATAAGAATGGAGGGAGTAATAAACAAGTTACATGTTATTGTTATTATTATTATTATTTTATTTTGTTTGGATGCAACAACCAGTCCAACAAATAGGACATCAAAGCAAACCGCTTGTTGCGGCGCAACCCGCCTGCCAAGATGGGAAACGCGGGCGCAGAACTTGATATCCACGCTTTATCATCACCACTAAGGCGTACGCTTTACGGCTTAAATGGTTTATTTTCATTCTGATACAGTAAAAACGACAATTAAGAATTGATATAACAATGAAGCCACGTGTCGGTTAGTCAATTTAGCCAGACGATAATGACCCCTTTCTTGAACTACTGATGTTTGACTCTATGCTTACGTTCTTAACGTTTCCGATCTTCAAACGCTTCAATTTCAGCTTCTTCAACCACCCCCGACCCATCCCCCCTCCTCTGCCCCTCTCTTTCTTCTTGGCGCATTTTCTAGATCTCTTCTCTCTTTCGGTCGTTTTCTTCTATTCTATGGCTGTCGCCGCCGCCGAAGCCGGCGGCATGAGTGAACCGCGGACTCAGCATGTGGATGCCGCGCCTTCGGAATCAGTCTCTGGTACACCATCGTCGTCTCCTTCGCCTGCAAATGGTCTTGATCGGAGCTATTCTAACAATTCTTTGCAGAACCCTCGTCAAGATGCTGAAATTGAGGTGCTGAGCTTATTATACGAATTTTTTGTTTTCAAAATTTTTGGTTTGACGATGATGGGTAATTTTTCTGGTTACAGTCTGCGGAAATATTGAAGAGCGAAGAGTATCGTCAGTTGTTTCGTCTCCCGCCAGAGGAAGTGAGTATTTTCAATCATGATGAGCACCAGTCTTTTTTATTTTAATTCTAATATCTTTATAGATGAATTTCTGTTGGCTGATTGTCAATGCCATTCTGTTAAGACTGAATTTTCGTTTACTTGAAAAAAAAATCGGCAGTCTCTCGTGACTTGTGAAATTTACATCTTTCAGAACTAATGCAATTGTGCCATATGACTCTTGTCATTTTGTTTGGTCATGTTATCATTCCATCATTTGTTTCCCTTTCGTGAGATAAGTAGAGGATAAAACCTTTCCATTCTCTGTACAAAGGGCAAAAGAGTTCAAAAGAACAGATTCTGGTCTTGAACGTAAGTGAGTGCTGGGGTTTTTCTGCTAGACTTTGTTGCATGAGTCACCCATCAACAGCGGTATAATAATATGACGTTGTTGTGTGACCTGTGTCTTTATATATAATGTTATGTCCCATAGTTGAGAAGTTTCTGAAATTTCCGATTGTTTTTTTGGTATTGGAGAAACTTTTCTTCTTTATTGATTTCTGTTTTTTTTTTTTTAAGGTCCTTATTGAAGATTTTAACTGTGCTCTCCAGGAAAATATATTGATCCAGGTAATTTTTACATTTGGTTGAATGTTGCTCTAGGACCATGATTCGTTGTTCATGTTAGTATTTCATTGTACTGTGTTGGTGTGAATATCTATATGCTATGTTTCTTTAGAGATGTATTAGGAATGTGTTTTTGTTTTTATTGTTAAGCTTTTCTTTTGTTTGTTTGTAGGGTCATATGTACCTGTTTGTACATTTTATTTGTTTTTACTCAAACATATTCGGGTTTGAGACAAAGGTATGCCACATAGCTCAATTTTTGACTATTTATTTTTTTATATGGTCACTGTTTGATTTCTGTAGTTATTGCTTTTAGTTCTCACTCTCGGTGTTTATTGCTTCTTGTAAATTTTGATGATTTAATGATATAGAGAGTAATCCCATTTGATGAAGTCACCAGTGTACGCAAGGCAAAGACAGCAGGACTCTTTCCTAATGCCATTGAAATTTTTGCTGGAGACAAGAAGGTATGCTGTATGATCATAGTCTTTGTGTTGAATTTGGCTTTTGATCTGCGTCAATCTTGTGTTTTAAAATCAGCCACATGATGTCTTACAACATTTGTATATTTGGCAGTACTTTTTTGCATCCTTTCTATCCCGTGACGAAGCATTTAATATCATTAATGACGGGTGGTTGCGACATCGCAATGGTGCTATAGCCAGCACTGAGCAGCAGGTCAATTAAAAATTATGTTGACACTTGATGCCTAATGTTTGTAATGCTGTGAGGGTTAATTAACTTAGGAGCAAATATATTTATTTCTACATTGGTAGTGTGATATGCTTTAGGAAATATAAGGTTACCTGCTGGTACAGTAATTTGTTGCTAGATTATGGACAAAGTAGCAAATAGGTTGAGGGGGAGGAGGATGTCATGATTATTGGTTGTTTTTAGGTGTAACTTACCATGTCTCCCCTTTAAGAAGTTTTTTGGTGTTTAGAATGTTGGTGTGAGAAATGTCAAATTTTTAATTCTGCACCAGGCTTGGATATTGGATATATGTTATGAATTTATATTTCTAAAGTAATGGTTGGCTACCCGTCCATTGAAATGCTTATCTGTAAAGATTCATTTAGCATCAGTTTACATATATTTGAGCTGACAAGCCCTATTTATTATGATATGGACTCCCTCAATGCATGCATTATTTAGTTAATTTACTGGTTCAAGTTAAGCTTGGCAGTTCATTGTTGTTTGGAGGATTATATTTCTATAAATTTTATAGTTTAAGTTCAACAGATACCAATACTTTCTTTGTCATCTGTTAGAATCTTGCATTCCCGGAAAGATTCTAGAATGTAGATTAATTGGCTATTGCTGCATTACGCATGTTGTCTGATACATTGATTTTACTTCAGGAAACAGTATCTGAGTCTAGCAGCCAAGAGAATGGATTTATAGCTATTGAAACAGTGAATGGTTCTGAGATAGTAGACAATGAATCACGTGCTGCCAATCTGTATGCTTATTATGATGTCGATTGTTGCTTTAGAGTGCTTTGATTTAATGTGGGACTCATTCAGGGTCTACTTATGTGTGGAAATCAGGAGCAAAGACAGTTCTAGCAAAGATGGTGAAGCCATGGCTGTTCCAGAGGAGCATTCCACGGTAGCAGGTATTGCAGAAACTGTATCTAACAATGCTATTTCAGGAGCTACCTGGAATTGGAAGGAAGAGAATATGGATGCTCCAAAAAGTGAGTTTGGGTAGTTTCTTCTAGCTCACAATTGAGATGCAGACACATGAATGGATTTATTTTTCTATGATTTGTTTATGGGAGAAAAGGTTTCCGTATTGATTTTTCCATTATTTTAAATTCCTGATTCAATGTCTATAGAGGTCAGGGAAAGGTCAGCTTACCATGTAATATTTGCAGAAAAGGGAAATTTTACTCTCTAGTGCTTCAGGGATGTGGAGTAGAGCCATGATAGCCTGACAATAAAAAATGACTACTGAAATTTGGACAGTAAAAGGGGCATATGTTTATCTTATAAATGGAAAACTTACCTGTGAAATTATGTTGCAAACATTTTGTACAAGGAGCTGTGCTAGTTAAAAAGAAGAAATCAGGAAGTTAGTGCATAACTTGTTTGTTGGCTATCAACTTTTTGTCTCCTCTGTTATAAGTTTGCTATAAATATTCTTTTTCCTTTTCCCATATTTTTTTAGGTTAAAGATTAAACTTTGATGCAAATTTTAAATTTTTCATTTCATTACACTAAAATACAATAAAGAAACAGAGAAACTGCAGCCAGATATGCATTCTCATTCTTCATTGGCACATTAAAACCCAGATATTAATCATCTATAAAGCATTGAAAAAATGCACGAGAAAAAGATAATACTTCCAATTTTTAGGATGAATTTTCCCCTGTTTCATTTATAACCAACGGAATTAATGAGTGTAAATAACAAAAGACCCAAAAACAGGACAGAAACATAAAATCGAGGACAAAATAGGTTAAGTAGAAGCAAACAGTGAGGAAGTGTCAGATTCAATTTAGAATAATGCACACGCAAACACACAAATGCCAGATAGTAAAAATACTTTCTCTTCTTCCTCCAAGCCTTCTTCTTGCCACCGGTGGCACGCTTCTTGTGCATGGAATCCCTGGAAATACCTGAGGTGGAAAAAGACACCCATGAGAGAAATATCCACAGCTTGTTACTACTAAGAATTGAACAATTCTAATAGAAACTCGACACTCGAAGATAAAAACGAAGCATACCCATATTGACTGAACTGTGGTATCAGCCAGCCCCCCCCTCTCTCTCTCCCCTCCCTCTCTCCCTAAACCCGGAAGTGTAACCTATTTCACAGCTTCTCTGAGGGAACAAACAGAAGGGAGAGGGGGCTGAGCCGCTTGGGTAAGTCGAAGTCAAGAAACATGAGTTATATTTACTTTTGTAGCATATGAAGTTGAGAACTTTGAGGTTAAAAACTTCGATGTTAGAAAGGTATCATTAGTTCTGTAATATGAAATAACATACTTGACATTCGCAAATGAAGGTGATTTATTGCTGTGTGGATATGTCTGAATTTCACTTTCATCTCCATGGCTCAACTGACTTCATTGAAAGTTGATGTTATGGATGATGTATCATAATGAGAAAAGCTTCCTCTTTAATGCTAAAAGTAAAGTCCTTATTCCATTTTCTTCTTTCTATAAAGAGTCTGTGGGGTTACAATTATAAGCACCAGAAATTGATCTTTACCATAGAGTAGCCACGGATAGGAGGAAGAGTTTGATGAAGGACTAAAGAGTTAAAGAGGTTGGAGTCATTGGTGAGGAGGTAACCTCCCCCCCCCCCCCTCTCTTTGGGTCAGAATTTCCAGGACGTATCCTGTAGGTCATCTATTAAGGGGCTGGACTGGGTACTTCTCAGGATAATTCAACTTAGAGCGGTCCTTTGAAGAAGAGGGAATTTAGAATTCCATTTAACTAGTTGTATGAAGGAAAAAAGTCTTCAGAGCCTGTTGGTTTTATAGATTTGGTTACTTCCAGCCTTGTTGGGTCATAGACAGGGAAGGCATTATTCAGAAGAGTAACGGGTTTGATTGTAATTTGGTGGTAATAATAATCCTTGTCTTGAAGAAAAGTAGGTCTATCAGGTGATGGATCGTATGCTGTTTTTTTTTTTTCTTTTTGAGTTGTACGAAGGTAGGTCCTCTTTGATAGATTAGCGCTGTAAGGTTTGAGACTTTTTGAGCTTTATTGCTGGAAGGAAACTCTTGGATGCAGCACCATTACCAAGATGTTTCTATTTACTGAAACATGGGAAGAAGTTTTCAAACCATTCATGTTAAGATCTCAGAAAGTTACTTTCAAGTTTCATTGTATGCTTTGAAAATTACTGCAGTTTTCCTGTGCATATATCAAAATCTACAGTGGTGAAAAACTTCATCTCTTTTAAAAGTTGTCGAAGCATGAAGAAGGCTTACCATACTTATGCCATGCTTTGTTATATGGCAGGATAAACTTTGCGCTAAAAGCATATTGGCTTATATATTTTAACATAATACTATCATCCAAGTAATGTATTATTATAATGTGTGAATAATTAATTGTTCAGGGAAATATTTTATGCTTGCGAGAGCAAGATACACTGTCTATCTATCTATTTATTCTGTGTACCTTATAGTATGCTGTGTTTTTGGTTTAACTATATTCTTATGATTTTTGTTATTTATGCTTTTATTTTAATGCTTTGATCTTGTCTATGCCTTGCAGCACCGGAGGTTTATACAAATGTTGCAGAATCAAAGTTTCCGGTAATTTGTGTTACAAATAGAAAGTTATCAAATTACCCTGTTGATGTTTAATATAATGAAACACTAGAACCCCCTTCAGGGCAAAAGCACACAAATATCTTTCTTGATGTTCAAGTAAGCTGTGTCCACACCCTATACGGAATTGATTTTTGAGACGCACAACCGCGTTGTACAGTAGTCTGTTCAAATTATTCGGGAGAGTGTATAATAATTTTACAGTAGAGGGGGCTGAGATTCTCGGAGTAGTTTTCCAAAATACTAGAGTCATATTTGGTAAGGACAAAAGAGGTTTCAGGAAACGGAGATGCAGAGAGAATCCATTATCTTGATATGTTTTGTGCATATTATCAAGTTACTAAGGAATTATGCCTGAATAAGGCCTCTTTAGCTTGGACCAAGGAAGGTTCCTTCCTACTAAGAACAAAAAATGCATTCCCGTGCCCTAATGTATCACATATTTTGACTATTTTGTCCATTCTTGATTTAAAATATCTTAATCTTGAAATTTGCCAGCATAAATATTATTTTATATAATATTTAAATGTCATTTCCTTGGAAAAAAAAAGGTAGTAATCTTCTATCTATTTTATATCAAAATAATGTCCGTAGTTCTGAAAATTCAACTTAATTGCTTTAATGAGTAGTATTCATGTCATTTGGCTATTTTGACTCCTTCCTTCCCTTTCTTGATTCTTCATATCAAACTTTCAATGCAAAAAAAAATAAAAAATAAGAAATTAAAATAAAAATAAAAATTCCATGATTTCTTCCTTCGTGCCAACCACAGTTTTAGCCTAAAAGCAACATTTCCATTGAAGCCTCTCTCCCTATCCCTCTCCCTTTCTTTATCCCTCATAAATGACTCCATCCTGCCAAACGTGACCTAAGTGAGGTGTGAGTGTATTTCGCTCAATTTTTCACTTCCTTTAAAGTTTTCCCATGTTGAATACTCGTATTTATTGATTAATAATTAAAGCTAGCATGTGGACAAATGTTTGTCTGAAGCTTCTGATTACTAATTGCAGATAACAGTAGAGGACTTCTTTAGGTACTTTTTATCAGACGATGCTGTTAATTTTCACGAGTCGTTTCATAAAAGATGTGGAGATAAAGGTAGCCTGCTTGAATCTTGTATTACTTATTTATCTCAATTTACTTTTGGAATTTTAATCTTTTGATGCTGATCTTGTATTGTTTATTTTAGTTAAGGTAAGGAATAAAGAATGCATAGTTTTTCAAAGCCTTATTATTTTGGTATGTATGATGGTTACTTTCAGACTTGAAGTGTACTTCATGGCATTCTCAAGAAGTTGGGTATACCCGTGAAAAGTCATTTCAACATCCAATAAAAATTTATCTTGGTACGCATCAGCTGCTTCTATTTTGAGCATCCAATAATGCGAAGTTCCCTGTTCTAGCCTGTGTTTTACTTTATCCTTTTGCAATTATATTTTTATGTTTCTCATGTGATCTTGAATCCTTTTAAGGAGCGAAATTTGGTGGTTGTCATGAAGTTCAGACACTCCGAATCTACAAGAACAGGTTGTAGCTATGCTGTTGGTTATCAATATTCTTATGTTTATCAGTTCTCTTCTCTAATTCATCTGGCAAGAGGCTTTTTTTTTTTTTTTGGGGTGCAATCTGTCAAGAGAGCTAAGTCTGCACTTAAACCCTGAACTTATGTGCAGTTTGATCTAACCTTTTTGGGGCTAAATGAGTTTTTAACGGGGGCTAAGTTTTGGGAAACCTATGGGGATGCCAGGATGGATATCCTAGGTCCTGAGTATTTGAAATATATGGGGGGAGCAGTTGAATCACTTTACTTGTTTTCATGACATTGCACTTCTTGTTTCTTTTAGTCATATGGTTTTAGAGACATCGCAAGAAGTCAGCGGCGTACCTTATGCAGATTATTTCCGTGTTGAGGTAAGCTTCTGTAAATTTCAATGCATATAATCAGAAATTTTCTGTAACTTTAAGCCTTATAAATTTGTTTTAGAAGAAAATTAATTTTTCAGATTATGTTGTCCAGTTGGCTGAATTAGAGGTAGGGGATTACATCAGTTCTAAAACCTCTTTCATTATCATTAAATGCACCTAAAATGGAGGACATTTTATTTCTTCTACAAAAATGCAACAAGGAAGCTGCATTTAGGGGATGCAGATGCCCTCTTGTAGAAATGAGTGCTTAATTTTTACTTTGTAATAGAACCCAAGCAAAATACTAGATACCCAACACTGATTTTATATTAAATATCAAATGATCTTCTTTTCAGTTGAAAGAAAGTTACAAGACATGAAAACTCACAAAGGATACAGAAGGAAATTGCTCTCAGCACATTCAAACTCACTAGCACCCTAAAATTCACTAAAATAGAAAGAGAAAATGATGAAGAAAGATGACCTTCCTTCACCAGCTACCTAGCATTCGAGAGGCCAGAACTCTCTACACCACTCTCAATACCCAGAAGACAGAACTCCCCTCTCTGTGGACCGAAGGGAAGATTTAAAGACCCAAAAAGTGACTCTCACATCCCCCAACTTAAACCTCTCATAGACCCTGCCTGTAGCAACGTTATAGCAAATCTAATTCTCCAATTATTTCTCCATAACAGTAGGAATCTCAAGGTCAACACTCTGGCCATCATAAAGTGGCTTTCCGTTTTCTTTCATCTTCCTAATTCCCTGGCAAGCTTCTATGATCGTGCAAGACAATGCCTTCTTAGTACTTTAAAGGTTACTAGCCTCCTCACTGGTCTGCTATGCACTGTCAGTAATTTGAAATCTCTGATCATGTTTCTAGATGATAACAGGAAAGGAGGGAGTCGCCAACAAATTTATTAAAATCATCAAAAAGGTCTAACATCGCTTAGTTATATTATTCAAATAATAAAAATAATCTAAACTAAACCTAGCTGAAATAAGATAATCGTAGATAGGATAGGGTAATAGGATAAATCTTATAAATGCTAATTCAAATAAGTTTATTCGAAAAATAATGTAATTATTCTACTCAAAATAACTTTAAAGTAAAGATACAATAATCCTAACTCTTCTTTCCCATGATTTCTCTTCTCTTGAAGGACTCTCCTCTGAATAGTTTATTTGGTGATATAACTCGAACAAGATACTGCATGAAGGCAAGATGTGGAATAAGTTTGAGGGAAGGAGGAAGGAGGAAGAAACAGAGAGAAAGGAGGGAGAAATAAAAGAAAAAAAAGAAGTAGATGATTAACTCAATAAATTAAACAAATCATGAAATAGTCTTACATCAAACCATCCCGAGGGCCTATTTAGGTATGGTTATTCAAATAATTAAAATAATCTAAGAAAATATAATGGGATAAATCCTAAAAGTTCTATATCTTAATTAAAATAACTTTATTTAAAAAGTCCTAATTATCTTAAACGTAAAATAACCCCGACTTTTTCCACCATCAAGACCCCAATGGATGGTTGTTCAAGGTGGAGAGATCCTTCTTTGTGAATGGCATTAACAAAGGAAATAAGTATGCCCAGGCTGCTAGTTTTTTCTTTGTTTTTGTTTTGCCCCCGTGGGGGGGGGGGTGTTTGAGCAGACGCCCCAACCCAACCCATTTCTAATTCTAATGGCTAGAAGCCAGACAAGTGATTAGGACTTGGTAATTGTTTAAAGAGTTGTTGGAAGGCATCACTGTCGCCAACTGGTGATAGTTAAGAAAGGTTAAGGGGGTTGATAAAGGATGGCTCTGTTGAAGAGTGCAATGAAATGTCTGAGCTACTATCAGGACCATTGGGTGGCTATCTAATGAGTTGTTGATGGGAACGTTCAAATGTATACTGACGGATGAAATTCAGTTGAGGTATATTTTGTGTATCTAACTGATTAGTTAGTTTTTGAGTTAGTCTCAAAGGCCATGACTAAAATGTTGTTAATGTATGAAGGAGAAGGTATAAATACTAGGGCCTGTAATCGTGGTAGTTGTCTGCTGAATTTTACCTTACGTTTCCTATTATTAGGTGGTGCTTCCTGAGCTCATATTCATGGCTCTTGCCATTTCAGAGGGGACCGTGCTTCTAGTGTTCGGATCCCAGAGGGCTTTGATGCCAATTGCCAAGATGAAACCTAGAAGATAATTCTCCTTTCAATTAATCAGTGAAGTACACAAATCCGTCTAAGCTAACTTCATTAAACCCTAGAGAATACCCAAGCTAACGCCACAAAAGAGAAGGTTAAATTCAGAAGGAAAACGAGCACATCTAATTAATGCTAAAACCTAGGAATATAAATAGATAATTGTCACTGAACTAACTACTACTTATCTCGATAATAATACTAAAAAACGGGAAGATAACTCTAATATGCCAAAGCCCAATAATCCATATCTTGAGGATCTCCAGCACCTTGCACAAGAAGGATACACCTTTTTTTTCCTCATTTTTCATATTTTCCATTTGAAATAGGCCCTTTACCCATTTATGGCGGCACAACCTATACCCAAGGCCTCACAGAAGAAATGGAACCAATGGTTCAACCTAAAGCGGTTATTAAAAAAAAAAAAAATTTACTAATGAATGGCCAGCAGCTTGCACAACAAGGATACATACACCTTTTCTTTTTACGTTTTCATATTTTCCATTTGAAGTAGGCCCTCTACCCATCTATGGTGGCACAACATACCCAAGGACTTACAGAAGAAATAACCAAAGATTCAACCTAAGGTGGGAAAAAAGGTTACTAATGAATGGCCCACAGAAGGTCCAAAGTAATTGGAAAAACTCACCTGTGAATGTACCCAGAAAGAATTAGAAATGATTCAGAGTCAGTTCTCCGCATTCAACCCTGAGGATAAGGCGGTGGGAAGTCTAGTTAGAATTATTTTATTAGGATATATAGATTAATTCAATTGACAATGAATAAATTAAAATACGTTTTTAGGATATTTAGATTATTTAGATTGTCTTTTCGATTTAATTTGGTTTCAAATGAGGATTTACCTGTTATTTGAATAAGGATTTTTTTTTTTTTAATCATACTATTATCTTGTCTTTGAGCGCCGTAGTAGTTTGACTTGGATTAGGAATGAGGCGCTGTAAGTCTAAATAAGCCATAGGACTACTCGATTGCATTGACATTCTGCCTACTGAAGCTTTCTCCCTCAAGTTTTTTCTTCACATATTATCCCTCCTCTACCTTCTCTCTCCTTCTACCTTCACAGTATGACATCACAAGTTCTTAAATTGTAGAGGAGGAGAATGATGGGAATACTAGGCTTTGTGGAAGAGTATACCGCAGGAGAAAGAAGTCAGCCCGAAAAGAGGACGGAGGATGCCTAACATTTGTCAGAGGAAAAATGGTGCCAGGCGTGAATTGAGAATAATTAGGGGCTGGTAGTGAAGTCGCGCAGTAGGGATGATTATTTGTGAGTTTATCAGGTAGTGCATGGACAAAGGAGAGGAGAAATAATGTTAGGGAGGGACATAAGGATGCTTCAACATTCATATATTATTTTAAATTTTTTCACTCTTGTGGCTTTAGGAGCACAAAGCAGCTGTTAATGAACCCTTTATTTTGGCTTGAAAAATAAATAGTATTATTTCAAGTTGAATAACCAGGTATTTGCATATATATAGAGAGAGAGGGAGGGGGAGAGAGAGCAACCGGGCTTCTTGAGTTTCTTTATGTGTGAACAGTCTAGTAAATTTTTGTTTTCTATTCTCTATTCACTAACAACTTTTCCCCCAATTATTTGTGTAAATTTTGCTTACAAAGTACTTTCCTCATGATAACCAGGGACGATGGGATGTTGAGGGAGACAACAGTGAATTAAAAGAGTGCTGTGTTTTGCGGGTTTATGTGAATGTGGCATTCTCAAAGAACACTATATGGAAAGGTGTTCCTTTATAGTATATAGCTTACTCAAATATTACCATGGTTTGTTTGGGTTTTTTTTCCCCCTTTTCTTTCTTTGTTTTCCCCCCCCCCCTTCTTTGTACTACCTTACATTGCGCCAGGACATCGTATTCTTATTTGGTTTTTAAAATTGTTGATGTTTTTATGCTACTTTAAATGTTTCACAATTATGCTATTGTTGCATCTGTTAATGATATGATACATCGGTTTTGTAGCTGGTCATATAAGAACATAAAGAAAGTTAGATCTTGAATTTATTAATTGCACAGTAAACAAAGGGTTGTTAATTTCATTTGCTTCTGTCGAGTTCTGAGATTCTTGAGCATTATGTAGCCAATTTGTTTCTTTTTTTTTTTTTGGTTTTTTTGTTTTTGGCTATTCATGGAATGAATATGGTTTGATTTTAGTTTAGGATAAATCAAGTCAAAGTTCATATCATACGACCAAGGAACTTTCTTGGCGATCCAAGCTTTCTTAGGTGGATGTCTGGTGATTTTTAGTTTCATAAAAAAATATGCATGTCATTGGACAATGTCTATATCTTAGATTCCCGATGATGTTAACCTCATAACTGCATTGCTATTGCATGTACTGCGTCTAGAATTATAGATGACTGTTGAGCATTGTCATTGTCGTCTACTGTTGATATTGTCTTAATCTCAAATTTTTGATGTCTTTTATCTTTACTTCTCTTGATGATCTACAATGCTCTAAATTTTCTGCAATTCTGCATAATTTTCATGTTTGAATCTTTGCATGGAATGTTTTGTGTAGACTTGCATCAATTTCTTCTGCTGCAAATAGACACAATTTGTGCACACAAATCATATTCATTGATATAATTGCGTCTTTATGAGCTACCTAGCGTTTAGCTCCCATTTCTGCTCTAGTTTGTGATGACTATAATTTCATCTTCGACTGTCAGAATGAGTATTCTTAAAATTAATGTAATCTCAAGTGATTGAAACATTCATTTGCACTGAATCTTTGAAAGTTTTGCTCAGTGCACTTTCTTTTGCTCTCAAGGGCAACAACCCCCCCCCCCCCAAAAAAAAAATAATAATGCAGTGAGTTGCATTTGGATGCGCATTGCTTTTAATGTGATAAATTGGGCTTTCCTAACTCCAAGTGATTGTACCTAATCACAGGCAAAATAGTACAGTCAACAATCGAAGAATGCAGAGAAGCTTATGCTACATGGATAAACATGGCAAGTTCATATTATCTTTTTGTGCTGTGTGACTCTTACAATGTTTTCTCCAGGTTAATAATAATGATTTTCATTATTATCTGTCACTGATTTCATTTCTGTCAGGCTCATGAATTGTTGAAGCAAAAGAACCTCGAGAAACAAGGTTTGGTATTTGCAAAGCTTATGTTTTATCTGGGAATCCAAAGATTTTATATTTTCCAAGTATTAATAATGAAGGTTCACGTAATTTACTTTTCTTGATGCAGAGAGAGCTTCTACTGCTAGTGAGGCACAAACAAGTGAACGAAATTTAGATAGTGAACAAAAAGCTGGAGGATCTTCAGAGAGTTCACAAGAAACAAATAACCCTGGGGTTCAGCCAGTTGCCTCTGACATCGTTCATTCTATCCGCAACATTGACAACCAACTGCAAGGAAATTTCATCGACTCAATGTCTATTTCATGCATGTTAAGAGAATGCGTGACAAAGTTCCGGTCTTGTTTAAAAAGTCAGAGCCATCTCTCTCTGTTCCTAGTCATCATTTTTGCTGTCATCTTCTTTATGCAGGTGCGTTTCAACTAGTCAAACCTGATTTTTCCTTTGATTTTACTGTAAGATGTACACACTTGAGTTACTTCTAACCTTTTCTTCTGTTGCAGCAGTTTAGCATACTTATACTGTTGTCCAGGCCCCAACACATTCATGTGAGCACTCCAACAGATTATATGAACAGGATAGAATATGGAGTGGGCAGAAGCCCTTCAGATATAGCTTGGTTAGAGAAAAGGATTCACTTCCTCAAAGATGAGATGTATATGGTTGAGACTAGACTGGAGAGAATGAGGTACGAGCATGCACTCTTGAAAAAACAACTCAGAGATCTAGAGTTAAATAAATAGATTCACAGTCACCCGCCGCCGCCAGACTTTGATTCATGTACTTGTGGCAATTCCTTCCTTGTAAATGAGAAAAAATGTAATACGTGGACATGAGAGAGAAAAGTGAAAAAAGAAAAAAGCAAAAAAAAAAAAAATCCTGCAGAAGACTGGCTGGATTTTCACTCGGCTTATTGTTGTCTGTACTTGGTAGAGAAGCTTCTGACTTAGCGGCCTAAAAGTAAAAGAGACAAAGGAACCCTGCAATGTGTAATATTTTTAAGTCCACTGGACAGTCCACAGGTTTACATTTTCGGTCTGATTACAAGCTTGAACTCTTGCATGGTGGCTTGTTTCTTGTAAATCCGCGCCGAATTGGATATTTCTTGGGGTTACTCTGTCTATTTTACGGCTATACGTGTTTTTTGGGAAAAAAAAGTAAAAAATAAAATCATCTTTTTATTATATTCTTTTTCGTTTAGTTGTTGCTTGAACCTAGGCCGTAGGCTCTATGGAGCAAGAGGAGAGAACTCAAAAGGATTGGATGGTTTGAAAAAGGGGATTATGGGTAATACTTTTAGGAGGTAAGAGGAGTAATTTTAGAATTAGGTCGGTTCAATCAGAAAACTGAGGAACTTATGAGTGGTCTGGTTCAGTTTAGGTAAACCAGTCAAGAATTGAACCGATATCGAATTGGTCAAGTTAGCGTGAACCGGTTTGAATAATTGTATTATTATTTATCTTATTTTTTCTCATTCAACTTCTAATATATCAACTACTATAAATTTGAATGAATTTTAGTGATGATTTTAGTATCAATGATTATTAATTTTAGTTATTAGGGAATTGTAAAGATTAAAATCCTCAATGATGTTATACTTTGTTATTTTAATAATTAAATTATTGTTATATTTTCTTGTATTTTCTTATTAGTGATTATTAATGTTTTTGTATTTTGTTATTTTTGATTAAATTATTTTATTTTAATATGACCGGTTTGATCCCGATCTGACCAATTGATTTTTAAACAATTATTTTAACCAGTTCAATGTTCAATTGGGTTTTTTGTTCCTTGAATTTTAGAGATTATAATTTATAAGTGATAATTAGGTCGTGGGCGTTGATTATGAGGGCGTGCGTATTTTAAAGGGTGCGCATATTTTAAGTGTTGTTTTTTTAATGAAAAATTTGTGATTTATGAGTGATGTGGCTTTTTACGACTTTTATAATATATTGATGTTAATATTGATTTTGTACATTAACCATTCACTTGGATGGCGAGAAAATGAGAGGGTAAAGAAAATCATGAAAGAAAATAGGGAGAAAAGTGTTTAGATAGGGAAGAAAAAGAGAAAAAATAGGAGGAAAGAAAAGTTAAAAAAAAAATGGAGTGTGGGAGTTACCTTATTTTCTCCCTAATTTTTCTCACCATCTTTCATTTTTATAGTAATGTGTCATATATTTATTTTTTATATCTAATTATAAAAAATATTCGCTCTTAATTTTTTTTATATGTTGAAAAATAATAACTTTCTATAAATATTTACTTGGTTCTAAAATATAGTGGTCAAATTATTGATAATATTACTTGACCAAAAAAAATATTTGATGATAATGTTAATATGATTTTTTTTCATTGTTTCATTTAATTCGATTTTGAATATAATATTTTTTTTAATAAAAATGTATTTTAGTCATTTAAATATTTATACGTTTTTTTCTTCTGTTTTTTCTTGTTTAACCAAACACAAGCTGATAACATTTTTCTCTCCAATTCCCCCCCCCTGACCTCCTTCACACCGAAACTGAGCGTAATTGCGTGAGTGATGAATCATTCATTAAAGATTAATGTTAGGAAAATCATTGTATAAAAAATGTTAAGAAAATCATACCAACCATTTAGGGTCTGTTTGGTTCAATAAGAGGAAAGGGAGGGGAAGGATTTTAATGGAGGAAAGGGGAGGAGAGGAGAGTGGAAGGATTTTAATATTATCTCATTTGGATTTATAAAAAAGGAGGGGAGGGGAGGGGAGGAGTTTTAATATTATCTTGTTTGATTCATGAGGAGAGGGGAGGGAAAAATATTTTAACATAGACAATTTCACCCTTATTTTATTTAAGATATGGGCATAATGGTCATCACATGACAGAGTATAGATATAATGATCACAACATAGCAAAATATTATCCTTTTCCTCCAAATCCTTTTAATTTTGGAGGGGAGGTTGAGGAAGAGAAGGGAGGAAAATTATTTTAATGATTAAAATTTTTCCTCCCCTCTTAAAAGTTGTGTGTTGCCAAACAAGGAGAAATAATTAAAATCCCCTCCCCTCCTCTCCCCTCCCCTCATAACAAACATATCCTTAGCTTCTTGGGGCATTGGTTTTTCCTCGACAACAAAGTTATTTGCTACATATTGATAAGTAAATACTCCTCCGATCCTTAATATAGGACTTAATTGTTGAGTTGGTTTTGGTCCTAAATATAAGACCCATTTATTACTCCTCCGGTCCTAATTATAAGACCCAATTGACTTATTTGAGGAGATTAAGGAAGTAAGTTAAGTTGGTTATTTATAATAAATAAGTGTTGTCATTCCTAAAATATCCTTGCTAATTAAGTATATTAGCTAAAACTATCATTATTAGAAGGATTATCTTGGAAAAAAATGCATAAATATAAGAGACAAAATGGATTGGGGTCTTATAATTAGGACCAAATAAAAAGTCAAATGGGGTCTTATAATAAGGACCGGAGGAGTATATTTATCAATTTTTTCTAAATTACCTCTATAGATACTCCCTCAACTATAATCAAATAACTCTTTTCAAATTCCAAATCTTCTTTAATCTCTACTCTTACTAGTTGGTCGTCCTATACAATTTTCTATATTTATGATTTAACTCCCAAAAGGTTTTCCTTTCTTTTATAACTCCAAATAGTTACCTTAATTACTTAATAACTGGTCATCTTTGCCAAAAATATTATCTTTATCTAATATACTTGGGGATGAATGATGAGCTCCCCAAACTTAATCATTCTAATGTTCTTAAGCTTGATTTAACCATCACATTAATGTTCCCAAACTCCAACTTTAACAAAAAAAATCACATCTTATTTATCAACACAATCCTATACCATGAACATTGCCTTAAACCTTTGTCTTAACATTTGAAAACATGAATCAGCAATTATAGTCCATTTTCCAGGTCCTCATCACTCTTTAATCATCATATTAGATTCTAATACCATGCATTTTTCACTGGAAAATAACCTCAGAACAACAAACTCCAGCAAACTTTCAGCTTCCAAAGTTCGGAATGCATAGGCCTTTGACTTCATAAATTCTCATAACTCTTTTAACATTTATTTAATTAACATAACCAAATTCTATCCTTCCAATTAAAAGGTTCTTAACAGCAGCACTATCAACAGTTCAAAACACCAATCAGTGAGGTATATATCGTTCTCAGCTTCCATATTTGAACTCCCACATGTAATACCTCACATACATCCTTCTAAATCTTATACGTAGACTTCGATATCATTTAGACATCCAATTCCTTTCCTATTGGTTTGAGTAACTTTAATCTTAAATCTGAAAAATATCTCTACGCATGGTTACCTAACACAGGGAGGCATCAAACACCACATCGAATAAGTGCATCGTTAACTTTTAACCTCCACAACATTTCGGACAGCACAACCTTTGGTTCTGAAACTATTTTCCAGATTTAAAATAATGTTTAAACCATCATTTTCAAAGTCTCTAGTCATGCCTTAAACTTATACATCAATGACTTAGCATTTAACTAGAAGCATAATTCAGCAAAGACCAAATCAGTTTTGAGCTTCAAGATCTTGGGTTTCCAACGCTCTGGATCTTCAAACATGCTTATCAATTAGAGTTCCTATTCTATATTTAGAAACTTCAATCACTGAGTTTTAAATCAGTTTTCAACTTTCAAAGAAGTAAAAACATTTCCCATGTGAGAACCAATTATAACTCCCTTAGAAAATAATTCCAGATTTGAAATCTTGCTGAAGCATTTCCGATTCTTGCATGAAGCGACAGATTGTATATACATATAATATTATACTCTTCCCGAGTATACATATATATTAGACTCTTAGCTTCACCTTTCTCCCATATTAATTAATATTTACTGCAGCGACTTTTTCTTCTTAAATCACTGAACCAATCGGACACTTATATGCACATAGATAAACTTCTACCTAATCTTAATCTTACTATTATTATTATTTTCCCCCCTACTCTCGGCTTTCACACTGAGATCCATCACTTACACATATACATATGCTTACTCACATGTATATATTACCAATTTGCCTTTTACCAAAGAACCCGACGGTCCACACCCCAGAACAGCAAGCAATAGTTTTTAAAGCCATATTCAATAACATCCGAACGCAACAAATACTTCATACGGCTTCCCAGTAAACCCGACGCCTATCACAGCAAAATAGAAGGACTTGAAGTTAAAATTCATCATACAAGAGAGCTAGACAACATGCAACACCATTTTCGATCTTTTCCTCCTCCTTGTACCATAGCCGACTCCTTACATCAAGGAAAATGTAGGTCCTGTTTCAGACAACCCAAAACAGAGCAGCAACTTCACATGCAACAAGAAAATACATATCCATCTACACCGTATTATTCCCCTCTTCTACCACTGAGATTCAACACCAACCAGAGACACATTTAACCCCTGTTTCGGTCAACAGAAACAGAGCAAAGAATTTAAAATCCAACTTGCAGAAATTTCAACCTCTGTTCGGCCAACCCAAAATAAAGGTATCTAACATCATGCAAGACACTCTACTACCTCTCATTAGCTCCAAATCTCGACAGCACGAAGAACTCCTACGTCAAACCCAGATTTGGACAGCAACACAGAGACCAAGAAAGGGACATGCAACCTAAAAATCTTACACTATCATCATCAACCAACATCATTTTCTCATCGTCATCAGGTTTCCAGCTTAAATCAGGAGTTTCTGTCACTACCCAGACTTTCTTACTCAACCATTACATCTTATTAAGCCACCGATCGAAGGAACCAAGATTAGAAGGAAGTTCTAGAGACTCACCTTAGTTGAAAACACGGACTGCATGCAATAGAAACCACCTCCGGTCACTCCTCCGTCGAGCGCACTCTCTCCACCTTCTCTCTATTTTCTCTCGCTATTTCTTCACGTTACAGGTTGCAAATGAGAAGAAAAGAGGGTGTTTCTGAAATTAAACGGAGCAATCACGTGTGGACTGTGTGAGTAAAAACAAAATGTCCATTTTGCCCTTTACACTCGATGCTTTCTTTCAAGTCCATCCTTCCTCTATAATTCTGAAATAATGAGATAAACCCAGAAATTA